GATACCATGTTTGGTAAGGTGGAGGGTCAGAGAAAAAGAGGAAGACCCCCCAACGAGATGGATTGGCAAAGTGGCAGCATCAATGGGCTCAAGCATGGCAGCAATAGTGAGGTTGGCCCAGAATCAGGCAGTGTTTCGTTCTGCTGTGCATAAGGTCACTATGAGTCGGTACCGACTCAATGGCACTTAACAACAACCATCTGAATTGTTGATCTTATGATACTTCAACGTGGTATCCAGGTTGAAACTATTATAGCAAGCTTACCTATTTTTTTTAATCTTTTGACCTACCTTACAGTGAGAACTTGGGGATTTTCACCATCACCAAACTTCAGAGACAGCCTAAGAAAGCAAACATAACACAGTCCATCAAAATAAGAATGATCTTTGCTCACATTACACACAAAAATTAACTCAAAATCGATCATAGATCTAAATTTAATACATAAAACAATAGAACTTAAAGGAGAATGTTTCAGCAATTGCGAAGTAAGCAAATTTCTTGACTAAAACATAAAAAGCATTAACCATAAAATGAAGAAGGTGATAAATTGGACTTAATTCCAATTAAAAAGATTTGCTTTTCAAAAGACACTTAGGAAAAAACAACAAAAATAAGTCACAAAATAGGTAAAAATACCCACAACACATATACACAAAGGACTTGTATCCATCATATATTAATAATATGGACAACTCAATAAGAAGAAGACAGCCAAGTGAAAATACAGGCAAATGATTTGAATACATGTACAAAGGAAAAAATACAAATGGCTTATTGCATTTTTAAATGTTCTGATATAGAAAATAAAGCACAATGAAGTATCATGGTATACCTTTCAGTGGTTAAAACTTAAAACAAAAAATGTTTACATTTTTAATATCCATACATATTTACATAATCCTGAAAGTGAACACAAGATTTCCTGAAACAGACACAGATAATTATTCCTTAATGGGATGACCTCAAGGATATCATATTATAAAGAAAGTAAAAGGTCACTATAAAGACAAGAAAGAAAGAAAAGACTAAACTGAACGCCAGAAGATACTCTGAAGTTTGCTTTTGAACATAGAGAAGTTAAGACTCCAAGAATTGATGGACTAAGATTGAAATGTTTCAACAAACGGATACAGTGCTGGAGGGACTCACTCAACTATACCACTACATTTGGAAGACAAAGGAAACGGAAGCAAATACTGTTGAATGATGTAGCACAGAGGAGATTGTAATCATTGCAATGAAACAATGGTATAAAGTTGATGTTCTCCCATGTAAACTATCACTCAGTTCACCACAATAAAAACTAAAACTGAAACTGATGATCTTGTCTGTAAACCTTCAGTCAATTCACATTTTAAAAGTTTAAGAAAAAAATTAGAACTTATTAATTTTTTCAAAACCTTAAATATTTTTCCAAATTATTTTCTTTGATGAACTATTCCAAAAGGAATACTCTGTTTCCCACTGTACTTAATCATGATCTCAAAAGTAGGGAGAGTGTCTCAAATTCTTTTTAAAAAACAACAACAACAACACAATGGACTCAAACATAACAATGATCATGAGGATAACACAGAGCCAGGCACGTTTTTTGCATTGTTGTTATTAATAAGGTTAGTATGGAGCCTTGGTAGCATAGTGGATACAAACTGGGCTGTTAACCACAGAGTTGGTAGTTCAAATCTACCAATCACGGAATGGAAGAAAGATGAGGCTTTCTGATCCCGTTAAGATTTATAGCCTTGGCAACCCTAAACAAGGTCACTATGAGTCAGAACTTACTTGTTGTTGTTGTTGTTAAGTACCGTGGAGTCGGATCCAACTCATAGTGACCCTACACAGGGTTTCTGAGGCTTATGGGAGCAGAAAGCCTCATCTTTCTCCCACGGAACAGCTGGTAGTTTCGAACTGCCAACCTTGAAGATAGCAGCCCGATTCATAGACACTAGGCTACCAGAGAACTTACTTGAAAAACACACCATATTCACCACCTCACTATGAATGGAAAACAACTCAAAGACACCTAGAAACAGTAACAGTCAAGAAATTGATTGTCGAGATAAAGGTTAACTTAATTTATCGGTACAAGGGAGCATTTTTTAAATAAATCATATAAAGAAGATTACTAAGAGAAATAATTTTATTTCCTAGTTTATACACTGTAGAAGCACTCTTTTACAAACAAATGGTAAGCCAATTTAGAAATGAAGGCAAGTCTTCAACCCTAACAACATTTTGATAATTTATTAGAAATTATGGGAAATGGTTTAAAGGTATAAAATACAGTTATTGAATAGTATTGTATAAACTTGCTGGTCTTACTAACAGGACTGTGTCTAGGTTTATTCAGGGTACCAGAATAACTTGGCTACCCACATACTCATCTGTAAGTTTGTCGTACTGTGGTGGCATGTGAGTTGCTGTGATTCTGAAAGCTATGCCACCGGTATTCTAAATGCCATCAGGGTCACCCATGGATAACAGGTTTCAGATGAGCTTCTAGACAAAGACAGATTAGGAAGAAGGAGTGACGAACAACTTCCAAATATTTAATCACTGAAAACCTTATGAATAGCAGAGAAACACTATCATACATAGAGCTGGAAAATGAGCCCCTCAGGTTGGAAGGCACTCAAAATGTAACTGGGGAAAAGATGCCTCCTCAAAGTAGAGTTGACCGTGATAACGTGAATGGAGTAAAACTCATGGGAGAAAAACCCACGGGACCTTCATTTGCTGATGGTGCTCAACTCAAAATGAAAAGAAACAGCTGTAAACATCCAATGATCATGTTTGGTAAAGTGGAGGATCAGAGAAAAAGAGGAAGACCCACAACAAGATGGATTGGCCAAGTGGTAGCATCGATGGACTCAAGCATAGTGAGGTTGGCCCAGGATCGAGGATGTTTCGTTTCGTTCTGCTGTGCATAGGGTCGCTATAAGTCATTGCTGACTTGATGGCACCCAACAACAACAATACCCCACATACTGGCTCTATAAATAAAGAACTAAATTTTAAAATTTCTGAGCCAATGTTCTGCTCTCATCTCCAGATTGAGCAGTTTAACAGTCTCTATGTTTCTAACCAAAGCCCTGGTGTGGTGCTGTGGGATAAAGTACTGAACTGCAAGGTCAGTTTGAACCACAAGGTCAGAGTTTCAAACTCACCAGCCATTCCTTGGAAACTCCTTGTACAGGGTCGCTATGAGTTGGAACCAATTTGACAGCACTTAAGAGCAACAACTGTGTTTCTGACCTTCACAGCGGTTTTCTCCAAAAGTCCTGGTTTCTGTAGAAGCTTATTAACATGCTCTGCTTCAGAATAAAGAACTTGAAGGCTGATTTCAGCAAAACAAATTCAGCAATGATTCATTGAAAAGCTTTTTTTTTTTTTAAGTTCTTGGAATTTCCACCAGTCTTTATTCTACCAGTCAGTCTGGTCTTTTATGATTTAAAAAAAGGTGTTTTCTTGTGTGTGTGTGTGTGTGTGTGTGTGTTTTAATTAATTGGGTGAAGGTTTTATATAGATCAGTTTTCCATTCAACAATTCATACACATTTTATTTCATGCCATTGATTGCAATCCCCTCAATGTAACATCATGGATCTCACTTTTCCCCTGTGTTTCCTCTTTCCATTCTTCCTTCTTTCCTAACCCTTCTGAGCTTTGTCCTCAGGCAAAAACTACACTTTTGATCTCAAATAGCTGATTATTCTAAGGTGGGCCTACCTCCCTAGTGTTATTGTTATTTCCCCCCTTATAAACCTGTCTATTGCTTGGCTGGATATGGAGCCATGGGCGTGAGTTCAGCTCCAGACCTGAAGGGTGACAAATGGGCATAGTATCCAGGGTCCCAGAAGTCCAACCAGTAAGTCTGGTCTTTTTTTTTTTTTTAATGATTTTGAGTTTTGTTCCACATTTTTCTCCCACTTTATCAAGAACCTTGTAATGTGATCCTTCCAGAAGCTTTTCAGTTCCAGGCACCATACCATAAATAGCAAACAAAGAACAAATACAATCTAGAATGAGAGTTCCTAAAAAAAACTGGAGCTTCTTTTACTCTTCAAACTCCCTACTCTCCCACATTTAAAACATTCCGAACTCTTCAGACTATAATTGCCTAAATTGAAAATATACACAGATGCTAGGATATGCTCTATTTGTTGGGATCTCATTATTTAAAAAGACTTCCATAGCAAATCTGTCTGCCAACAATTTGCCGCTCTCCAAACATTTAGTTACCAAAAGTAAAACATGACCATCTTTTTTAAATCCATGCTTTTGACCTTACATGGTTATGTCTTTTCTTAGGTTTGTTTTTCAGCAACTCCTGTTCTGGTTCTTGAGCACGTTAGATATCCTTGCCAACACAGCTAAGGCATCTTATGAATCTACAGAGTTCACAGGCACCAGTAACACCAAGTGTCAGCAGCTGGCCCTTGAGCACCTGGGTTCTAGGAAGTTTCCCCATATCCTCTTTAAGTAGAATTACAGGGTAGGGTGCCTGTAATAGCAGGATACTAATTATGACCTAGAAATACAGGCTAATATAATCCTCTTACCCATCACCAAGAATCTTTAAATGACAAAGTTCCAGAATGAAAAGGTGCTTCCAGATAAAGTATATAAACCACACATACACTGTGCTATGGCTTACACATAGCAGCCTGTCCATCTAAACCAAGCCAGAATAAATTCAGAGACTCTGTCAAAAGCATCCATTATGCCTGCAAATATTGAAAGGGAGGTTTACAGAAAACAAGTGGGACATGCCAGATTTCCTCCCACTAGACCAAAACAAATAAAAGCAAAGAATTATGCTTGAATTACAAGAGAACAGAAAATGGCAATAAAAATTGATTTCTTTTTTGAAAGGGTTATTTGTTTAATCTGCTTATCTCAAAACAAAACCAATTTTTCTAGTCATTTTGAAAGGTTCTAAAAATTACTCTGATATTTGGTCATCCCAAGATGCCCCTGCATATTTAGAAACATGCAATGTACTAGAACTTCAGAATATCCCTTTATAACCAAGCTTCCGCCCACTAGAATTAGGTTTCTCTGTTCCACCCACAAGCTGATATGTGCCCCTGCTCTGACTATGTAATGTCTTCATTGATGAATCAAACTCACTTGCCATCTGACTTTTGAGATCAGTGTCAATCCTGCAATCTTTCCTTTTATCAAAAAGAGTTCAGAAACCCTCATGTTCACAGCCCTCATTTGCACAAGCTATTGTGATACCTTTGAGTTACCATGTTGGAGGAGCATATTAAAACTACCATGAACTGCCAAAAGAGCAAAACAATCTGTGTTGGAAGAAGTATAGCCAGAATGATCTCATACAATCTGTGTTGGAAGAAGTATAGCCAGAATGATCTCATACTTAGGATATATTATCAGGAAGGACCAGTCTCTGGAGAAGGACATCATGTTTGGTAAAGTGGAGGGCTAGAGAAAAAGAGAAAGACCCCAAATGAGATAGATTGGCACAGTGGCAGCAGCAATGGACTCAAACTTAAGAAGGATTGTGAGGTTGGCCCAGAACCAGGGAGTGTTTTGTTCTGTGGTGCATAAGGTCGCTATGAGTCAGTACCAACTCTGTGAGTCGGCATCTAACAACATCTAACAACAACATTATGTGATAATTAACTAGAAAGCTCAGAAGGAAATTTCTAGGAAAAAAAAACAAAACGTTTTTTTCTTTAATTTCTGGATTTTTCTCTCTTTTTAGACTTTAATATTTCCAAAAGAAGTGTTTCAGGACCATATCCAAAGGAACCTACTTCCTACTCTTTTCTGAATGGACAGAAAGTGGGATCCGCACAGTTCACAGATTGCAGTGACCCTGATGGATTACTCAGTGACAGACTTCAACTTACGTGGCACTGTCCTCACTGCAATTTGAGTTGCCAGCATCCACTGTTACCTTCTGGCCATATGCTTCATCTGTAAGGTCCAGCCAAGTTTGATTCTTAAATTTTATTGTTATTCTTTTGGCCCAGAAGAGAATGCAGGGAATTCCATGGATAGAGACATTAACCGGACTATGATGGCTGAATGCATTCGCAGATCCTTTTCTGAAACGTTCTTGTTTGCTAAGATTATAGTTGAGAGCCTAATTAGCCAAAGACAAGAAATTGAAGAGGTAAGTTTTCTCCGTGGCACAAACGTCTTTCTATAAATAAAACAACAATTCCCAGGCTGTTAAAACTCTAATCTTTCTAGCTCAAGGCCATGATTTGTGGAGCAGAGAACTTTGGCTGAGACCAGCTCATGTTGTTGTCGTTGTTTAGTGCTGTCGAGTAGGTTCTGGCTAATAGCTACCCTGTATAGGATGGTTACGAATCGGGCTGCGAACTTTAAGGCCAGCAGTTCAAAACTACCAGCTGCTCCGAGGGAGAAAGATGAGCCTTTCTGCTCCCGTAAAGATTTACAGCCTCGGAAACCCTGTACAGGGACACTATGAGTCGGAACCGACTCGATGGCACATAACAACAACAACATAGGGTTTCCAAGGAATGGCTGATGAGTTTGAACTGCTGACCTTAAGATTCAAACCTAATTGTAGTCCAATGCTTATCCTACAGCACCACACAAGAGCTTCTAAAATTGTAGGCATGCCTGGTGGTAGCTATGTGCCGTGGAGTTGGTTCTGACTCATAGCAACCCTGTATAGTGTTTCTGAGGCTGTAAATCTTTATGGGAGCAGAAAGCCTCATCTTTCTTCAGTGGTGGCATGCATAACTGTACATTAACTCTGTTCCACAAAGTACCAAAAATGAAAAGGCCTAAATCATATTTAAAAAACAACAACAAAAAACTTTGCAAATAATATTAGCAAAAATTCTCCATACTATGAAATTCTAACAGCAATAATCTCTTTAGAAAGCAATATAATAAACCCAAATCACACACAGCTTTCATTTAAGGGTCTTAAATTAACATGTCAAAGAAATAAAAAGTTCCTTCTAGAAGTCGAGTATATTTCTCTAGACTACCATTGTCCAATAGAACATTCTCTGATACTGGATATATTTTATGTAGGCACCAACTGCATGTGGCGACTGTGAATTGAAAATGTGGCTAGTGAGACTGAGGCAATTAAGTTTAAAATTATATAATATTAATTTAAATTTGAAGTCCTGGTGGGGTACTGTAGGATCAGAACTGGAGTGCTGACTGAAAGGTCGGTGGTTCAAACCCACCAGCCACTCCTTGGAAACCCTATACAGCGTTCTTATGAGTTGAAACCTACTCAAAGACACTTAACAACAACAACTTAAACTTTAAGTCACAGGTGGCTACTGTACTAAACACTGCAGCTGCCCACCCACTGCCATAAAGTCAATTCCAACTAATAGTGACCCTCTAGTACAAAGTAGAACCATTCCCTTGGGTTTCTGAGTTTATAAATATTTATGTGAGTGGACAGCCTCATCTTTTTCCAACAGAGCAGCTGGTGAGTTCTAACTGCTGACCTTGCAGTTAGCAGCCCAGTGCATAACTCATGACGTCACTTCAGGATATTGAATATGCATGAACTAGTAACCACTCATGGTTGGTAAGTGGAGGATCAACAGAAAATAGGAAGACCCTCGATCAGACAGGTTTACACAGAGGCTGCAGCAATGAGCTCAAACACAGGAACAATTGTGAGGATGGAGCAGAAGTGGGCAGGGTTTTGCTCTGTTGTGCATTGCCCTGGTCGGAGCTGACTGGATAGCATCTAACAACAACAAAAATATTCTAACATCATTCTGTGTCTTGTTTCAGGAAGCCCAGGAACAGTATTTTGGTACCTGAGGTTTCTTTGGAGGTCACCAAGGCAAGTCCATTATCTGAAAAAGTTATTCATGGAGACCAACTACAGGAGTCTGTAGTAGCTTGAATTTACTTGCTGTATCTTTTTTCTTCAATGTCTTTTTAATTCCCACCAAGTGATTGTGTGGGACTACGGTGCCTCTAAGGCTGGGATCGGTTAGTTTTGCCATCCCGCTAAGTTTAGAAGAAGCCATCTGAGAAGCAGAGACAGACGATCCCAGACCATCAAAAAGGAAGAGCATGAGTAGAGTGTGAGATCTTTTTCTAGAAAAATGGAGACAACAGAGGCAGTGGCAGAGGTGGTGGTATGGAGTAACTGTAGGCATCTAGGCCAATGGACTGAGTAAAGCTGTGTGCCTATAAGCAGGAGGCTAGCCTGCAGAATGTTTCCTTTGGACATATACAGACTGACTAAAGGAGCTTGGTAACACTGGCTAAAAAGCCAAAAGCAACAGTGAGGCGTGCCTGCAGTTTGGCAGAAGAGGTGTTCCTGACTGGAAAACTGCTGCATCCTGAGTTGGGTTTGATCCTGAATTGTAACGTGTTCACTCCCCTAACAAACCCCATAATCATGAGTACTGTTGTAAGTTTTATGTGACTATTACAGTGAATTATCAAACCCAAATGTAAGCAGAGTGCTGGGGGAGGAATGGTTGGTGTAAGAATAAGGTAAAGAAGGTTGTAGGGTGGAGGTATGTCTGGCCTGCGCTTCATAGGAATCAGCCAGCCTTGAGCTGATTTTGAGTTTGATTCTTTTTCTCCCTTGTGAAGTAAGCGGAAGTCAGTCATGGCAACCACATGGTTTTTGGAAAGTCCCTGGATGGAGAAAATGGTTACACACTCAATTACTAGCCTGAAGGATGTTGATTCCAACACACCCAGAGGCACCTTGGAAAACAGGTCCACTGATCTATTCCTGAAAAGTCATATGCTTCAAAAACCTATAAAGCAAAGTTCTACTCAGGACACATGGGGTCAAGTCACAATCAACTTGGTGGTAACTAACAATTTCAGATCAAGTATTCTATAATAACTACTTCAGGATAAATGCAGATAAG